AAAGGCATATGAGATCAGGGAGACTATTCCAATTTCTTATAATAGTATGACACATGAAAAGTAAGTGTAATCAAACCTTAGAACAGCAAAAATCCTGAACACTGACAGCAACAAATGCAGGCAAGGATGTGGAGCACCAGGAACTCTCATTGATTGTTGGTGGGGATGCAGAATGGTTCAGCCACCTTGGAAGACAGTTTGATAGTCTCTTACAAAATTAAATATACCTCTACCATATGATTCAGCAATCATGCTCCTTGGTATTTACCCAAAAGAGTTGAAAACTTATGTACACAAAACCTGCACATGTGTGTATAACAGCTTAATTAATAATTGCCAAAACTTGGAAGTAATCAAGATGTCCTTCACAGGTGAATAAATAAATAAACAGTAGTCCATGTAGATAAGGGAATATTTTGTGCTAAAAATAAATGAGCTATCAAGCCATGAAGAGACATGGAGGAAATCTGAATGTATATTACTAAGTGAAAAAAGCCAATCTGAAAATGCTACATGCTTTATGCTTCCAACTCATGACCTTCTGGAAAAGGCAAAACTATGGAGACAGTTAAAAGGTCAGAGGTTGCTGGGGGTTGAGGAGAGAAAGGGCCAGATGAATAGGTGAGCATAGGAGTTTTAGGGCAGTGAAATTACCCTGCATGATACTATAATGATGCATACATGTCATTTTACATTTATCCAAACTACAGAGCATAAAAACCAAGAGCGAACCCTAATGTAAACTATAGATTTTGGGTGATTATGATGTGTCAGTGTAGGGTCATCGATTGTGACAAAGGTACCACTCTGGTGTGCCTGTTGTTATTGAGAGAGGCTATGAATTGGGGTAGGGGCTGTGTTGTGAATTTCTGCACCTTCTCCTTAATTTTGCTGTGAACTTAAAATGGCTCTAAAAATGAAAGCACTACTATTATATGCAGCTACATGGAGACTTCCATAAACCTAATGTTAAATAAAAGAAGCCAGACACAAAAGAAGAAAAAGAAGATAAGTGTAGAGACGAAAGAGATAGTGAATTTGAGCTATGTGTTAAGCAGATAAATAAAGGAATATCAAAATGATTTTTAGGCAACCAGGACGGACTCAGAAAACCCTGCCCCTTTTATCCTATTCTCCAACCAGACCTCAGAACCCAACTTTGTTCAGAGGCTTCAACTTTCCAAAAGATGCACTTGTGTACAGGGCCTGGACACTCTCCACTCGCATTCCGATCCCTGCAACCAGAGAGCCTTATGCGCTGGATGGGCACATGAGAACACTCGCCCTCTTCTATCGCACATGTTATTGGGCCTATGTGTCTAGGCCTAGGCCATGATAGCAAGAACAGAAGGGATCCCTGTTCTGGAGAGCAAGGAGAGAACCCAGGTCCTACTCTCTCCTGGTGGGAGGAGAGCTGTGACCACGGAGCTCAGGGAAGAGGAAGCAAGACAAGCCTGCACTGGGTTGATGGATTCTTTGGTATTGGAAGGGCTTTTGTTCACAGAGAGCAATCTCACTACTGTTTGCACTAAGTATAATGCTCAACCAATGCTTTTGAAAACTAGTTTTTGAGTATTAAATATTGATACCAACATGATAATTTAAATGATCTGAACCATGGTGCATTAGACTAGTACATTTAGCATGCCTCATTCTTTTATGATAGTTCCATCCTTCAAAAACAGAGAAACTTTCTCAAGAACGTGGATCACAAACTTGTTTATCCATTTCACCAAAACTGTTAGAAAAGTGCTGATTTCATGGATTTAACTTTGTTTCTCTTGTGTTCTGATATCGCTCCTTCCCAGAGCTTTTGTAAACTTCCCAGATGCAGGAGGAGGTTTGATGACGTTGCAGATCCTGGTGTCAAACAGCTGACTGTCCATTAGGAAAAGCACTTGGTGTGTCTGCAAGTTGATTCAAACCTGAGCCCCTGAGTATTATCAGGCTGAGACTTTTTTGGTAGTAAAAATGAATTCTTTAATTATGTCATGGTACTCTTTAATCTCTATGTTTTATAGAAATTTTGAGTTTAGAGACTTGCCTCTCTGACATATAAGGTGTTCTTTAAGTTTTTGCAGGACAGTAAGTGTGTGAGCAGTTGTCTAGTCACTATGATGTATTGCCATGGTTCATTAGCATTATTACAAAAATATTCATTTTTTGCTCGGCTTTTATTAAAATTAGTAGGGTTTTGTTATAATTAGTAGATAATATCTTTGAAGAGATAGTTGAGACCAACTCCTTCATTGGCTGTTGGACTAATTTACCTTTTGAGGTCCACAGGGAGACCACTTATTTCACTGGTCGTTGGGTATTACCAGCTCTATGGACTAGTTTCTGGATTCCCTTTTTCTCTGGGGATTAATTGAGATCACTGATGCTGATCAATATTTTATGTTTTTGGTATGGTTCTTACTCTTTCCTTGTGTGTGGCTCACTGAAGTGTTAGTTCCTTCTGTCTCATTGTTACAATTAGGAAACTATATGTATATCTGTACTTAGCACATATGCTTGAAATAAGAAAAATATTCTATAGATCAACGCCCTCCCACTCACAGCCCTTTGGATCCACACTTCCTTTGAGTCAAAACCACCTTCTGTTACACTTTGTAGTCAATTTTCTCTTTTGAATATCGTTATAAATGGATTAAATTTTGTAGATTAAAACAGTTGTAACTAACAATCATTTCTATTTTTTCTGCTTTTGCTGTTGTTGTATAATGCCCAAACTGTGCATCGGTAGGATGTAAATCCCAGTTAACTTAATGATACTATTCTGGACAGAATTCTCTATACAAGTGTGCCACACAAGAAGTCATATGTAAAGCCAAAAAAATAAAATAGAAAAAAAAACACCAAACACACTGAGTTCAATGCTTGAAGTTTATTTTGGGGAGAGAAATAAGAAAAGGTAGAAGGTAGAGAATAAAGAGAATACACCGTTTCTACGTCTTCAAATGCAATCCTGTACGGCTCTGGGTCTCAATGCACAAAGCTCAGCGACAGCAAAGCGGGTAGATGGTGCCGGGGGGGATAAGGGTACAGGTCCCACCTTGAACCTCACGTCCTGAGCAGAAGGTGCGACTGCAGTGGCAGATGATTGTTGTTCCAGTGCCTGTGGAGGGAAGAAGAGGGTCAGACACAGGGGGAAGGAGGGAGGGAAAAGAGGCAGAGCCAGCCTCATGGAGATTTGCTAAGAGGAGATGCGTCTATTTACAGTAGACAATCCCAGTCATGTTAGTGTGGAGAGAATTCACTTTTTTGTCATAACTCAGAGGAAATCTTACTGGCTATGTGTTGATCATGCAGGACCATAGTGTTTCTCTGATCTTACTTTATCACGTACAAGCTTATTTGCTGCTCTGCCCAACAGTCCACCTCTCAACTTCAGGATTACCTACTCCTCGTCGCACCTCATCCACACACCCATTTTGAGCCCAGCCTCCACGTACTGACAAATCCCTCTATGGGGCCTGCAGATTCAACAGCATGCTGGCTGGTCTCTCACCTGAAGCATCTCGAGCAGAGCGCTCATCCCCATCAAAAGAGATGGTCATGTCCTGGACCTCGGCTTCAGGCTGGTCCTGGGCAGGAACCTCATCAGCTCTCTCTCTCAGAGGCTCAGCCTGGGCCTGGAGGGCCAAGAGGAGAAGGGCAGTGAGGAGGGCAAGGGTCCTCATGGCAGTGAGTCACCTGGAAGTCAGGGTCCAGATGGTAGAGTAGGAGCCTGAGTGAATGGGGAGCACAGAGCCAGCCTGTATTTATAGGACAAGGATTGGACGAAAGAAGGCGTTGTCTTGAATGTGTGACTAGGGGAGGGTGCAGTGGCCTCAGAT